TCACATTCTTGCGATGGAACCAATATTACAAATAATTCAGTTATATAAAATAAGATACATAATAAAAAAGGGTAGACAGTTTTTTTATACTTATGCATGTATACATATTTATAATCACTCGTATATAAATATATGCGAGTATAAATACGCGTAGAAATAAAACCTTCTATACCTATATTAATATTGTATTAAGTTGAAAATAAATCATTACTGTGTGCGTCATTGTATTTATGCTAACATATAAAAGAAAGTATCATCCTGCATTAAAATCGATAAATTTCGACAAACTTGTTAAGAATTTCATTATCGAAATTGTGTCGTTTAACTTTAATTCGGAGATATAATTTTAACTTATATATAATGAAATTAATATTGCATTCTCATCAATTTATTGACAGTTTATTTGTTTTCTTTATACTTTCCATATCAATATTTTTCGAAATATATATAACGCTACTTGATTTTTTTAAACACACACAATCTTATAAAAATTAAGTTTTATTTGTTACATTCTAATAAACAGGTAAAAATGATTTATACTTATATTTAACTGTAATAATAGTTGTAAAATAAGTAAAGATTACATTTTTATCAACATACAAGTATCAATTAATATTGTTATATTGAAATTTATATTAAGTTTTCTTATTTCATTACTCAGTAACTTCAAAATCATTTAAAATTGAATATATGTTTATTATAAATTTTTAACTTGTTTTCATGTTCTGAAGCTACTGTAGTAATTATGGCACTATGCAGATTCCTGTAAACAAATATTATATAAAATATGAAAAATAAAATTAATTGTTATTATAATCATTATTAACGAATATAATAATTTAAAAACTATTTTATCTATATGCACTTCTTCTTTGTATATGCTAAAGTTGATTGTATTACAACAATTACATAATGATATTATACAACGCGGATAATAAATGGTGACAGAAAAATGTTACTATTATTTACTTCAAAACTAAATCATCCCTGGGACATGTATTGTATAGATACAGAAATGTTTCACTGTTTTAAAGAAGGGGTTGATAAATGTCATTTTTGGCATCCTCCACAAATTCAAACAAAATTAAGGAAAAATTATATCTCCATATCGACCTCAATTGCCAAATTCCTTATAAATCATTCAAGTTCAAAATGTAATGTTTCATAAGAGACGAGGTTCAGAATCAAATTCTTCTGGGGAATTATGAAGCTGATATAAATTTAGTAATGAGGGACAAAAATGATCTTATCGCAACCGCTTCTTTAAATTTATTAAATATAAATCAATAACAAAAAAATAATAAATGTTAGAATCATACATTCAAGCAGGGTTAGAAATGCTAATAGAATCTATTAGCCTTTCTAACCGTACTTGAATGTAGCAAAAATTATTTAATTACAACGACAGAAAGATAATAAGCGAATAAAGTACAATAGCAAGATAATATAACAACATAAGTTAAAAAACTTCGAAGACAATTTTAATAATTCATGATAAAAATTCAAAATTTATACTACACGGTTGATTAATTAAAGTTAATTATGATTACTATGTTTTGACACCACTTGACTTCAAATAAAAAATGCACGATGTTTCTTTGAACCAAAAAATTAAAAAAGATTATTATGAATCTTGATATGCATGCACTTAATAAATTCGAATTAATAATTTTTTGATACAGATTAAATAAAAGATTTCAAACAATATGAAAAATACTGGTAGTATACCGGTATTACATAAATCACAAGGACTAAAAACCGAATACTCTTTTATTATCAACTACATACCGGTATTAATTATATTATATTACTTATGCATCAACTTTATTTAATTTAATAACGGTATATAAAAAAAAATAGACGGGAACAGTGGCGGGATTTGGTATTTGCGGCAATGAGCTTTCGAGTTCCTAAGGCCTAATAATAATAATAATAATAATATAAAAAAAATTGACTAGCAATTTAACAATTTGATGCTTATTCCATTTTAGAATGATCTTAATAATGCTGAATGACATATTAGAATCTGTCAATAATTAATTTCTATTGCAATAAATATTACCTCGGCCAGGACCTGAATCTTTTGCATTCCATGCAAGCGTCCTAAACTTTTAGACTATTGAGGGCATAGTAATATTTCGCAATAATTGGCATATATTTTTTATACAAACATCGCAAGAGTGAGAAATGACGATCGAAGAGAACGCCATGGTTACTTCTTTACTAACAAAGGCTTCTTCAGCTTTACCTCCTTGCTACGTAATATTTGCTGACAGTTTTAAGTTAAAACTCATCGAGTATATAAAATAAAAAATTCACATTGTAATTAATACAAGCATTGCAGAGAGTGAAAGAGATAGAGATAGAGAGAAAAAAGAGGGAGAAAAAAGAGAGAAAGAAAGAGATGGACATAAATACTACACTTAGCTAAAAAGTTATTATATCCGTGTTAATTCTAATAATTCAGTGTGTAAATTCAATGTATTGACTAACATTTAAGATTGTGATACAAACTGTTATTCTCCTAAAAATTGTGTTCAGTTCAAAAAGAAAATGAAAAAAAGATGGCAGCTATTTCATGCCACGGATTTTCAATCCTTAATGTATCCTTGTTTCTTTTATTGTGGTATTCTTGGAATATTTCCGTACAAGATCAATGCTTCGAATTTCGAGATTTCAAAACTACGCTATATCCTGTCAATTATGATTACCTGCGTTTCCTTTGTTTTATGTCTACTGATCAATCATGGTATTATTATTTCTAAAATAATTACTTTTGGAAGCATAGTTAGAAACTTTGAGGCTGTTTGTTTCTTTACATTCAATGGTTTGATAATGATACTCACGCATATCTTAAGTAATCCACGAATGCGCTTACTACAGAAAATTTGGGAAATCTCTTCAAAAGTTTTACCATCAGAAACCTATCAGAAGTTATCCAGATTGATCCATGTCAAGGACGTCTTGAGTGTTATCTTGTTAGCCGTGCAAGAATATGTGTATTTCTCTAAAATGCGATTATTTGAAACAAATCATTGGATTATCAGATGCATAATCAAAGCATTTATATTATATTTGTTTCAACTGGAGTTTCATATGAATATGTTGTACGTTAATTGTGTTTGTCTATTAAAAACCTGTTTAAAAAAAATCAACGACGATCTGAATTACATGCAAAGATACATGACAAACAATATAAAATCATCTGTTCCTAGTTTAATTTGCTCAACGCAGAGAAATCAAATTTTTTTAATAGAACTCAAAATTTTGATGAAACAGCATCTAATGATTAACAAAACAGTGCAACTGCTAAATATAATCTTCAGTTTGCAACTTCTTGCAACTGTAACCATGACCTTTATTCAAATTGTTCGTGAACTATATGATGACATAGTGCATTGGCAAGGTGAGGTAATCATTACTTTTGATCAGCATTTTCTTGATGCATTTTTATTAATCATGGTGTATTATGTTATGAAAGTAATGCTAATTGTATGGGTCTGCGAGACCGGCAAGAATCAAGCCCGAGAAATCGGCACTACCATTTACGACATACTTAATAGCACAAGAGATGAGCAAATCAAAAGCGAGGTAATTTTTTTGAATATACTATAGTATTTATGGACATAATTTTGTGTGTGTTTACTTAATCTGCTAAAACTATGTTTACTAATATTATTTTTTTCGTTCTCGTATTTAATTCTTTTTGTTTGATTTACGTTGCAGTTGCAACTTTTTTCTTTACAAATATTGCATTGCAAAGATACATTTTTGACAAAAGGTCTCACTATGGACGCGACGTTTCTCACAGCAGTACGTAATCAATTTACTGTTTTCATTAATAAAAAATTGTATTATTTACATTTTAAATTATTGTTTTTCAGATTGTGGGTGGCATCACGACATACATGTTAGTTTTGATACAATTTTTAATCGCGGGACATTCTTGTGATGAAAAAATTGAACTTAGTATTGCAAACAATTCAGTTATATAAAATGAGATACATATTAAAAAAGATTTTTTTAATGTTTATATAGATTTATATATACACGTATGCATTCATATATTTGAATAAATCGCTCTACTATATCTATATTAATACTGACAATGAGTTTAATATAAATCATAGTGCATCTTTTGAGTTTTGTTAAAATATAAAGAGGAATTGTCTTAGAGTAACATGTAGTTTATGGATTACAACAAACATGTAAACAATTTTATCATATAAAATATGTTAATTTTAATATAAATGTATAATTATATTTATTCTAATTTAATTT